ACAAATGAGATACTAGTATATATTAATTCTTTGATATCATTGTTTTTTATTTCAAACACGAAAAATAGGTTTTTTAAAAAACATTATATTAAATATAATAGAAAAACTTCAAAAACATCTATGAAAACAAGAGAAGAAAAAAAGGAAGAAAAAATAAAAAAGATGGACATTGATGCCTATTTAGAAAACTACAAAGGCCACCGAAGCTATTCATTTTAACATATGAAAGATATTTTAGTTAAAAAAGTGCATTGACGTAGAAATACTAGAACATGAGGAGAAAAGACGTATTTTTTAAAAGTAAGAGTTAATAATATACATTTATCAAATCACATGGGATATTAGTGCATTAAATTTTGCATAATAGAGTTAGTCATATAGGTTTCCCTATGTATTCTGTGAATATTGTGTATTTACTAAATTGTAAAGGTAAAATTTACATAAATACTTCTAGGTCTGGTGAATAATATAATATTTCTCTCAAATTCACTTTTGCACATTAATACTCTGAAAAAAATCACTAGATACTACATTGTTACTCTAAGAGTGATGATAGTCACACTCCGCCCAGACACTAAATTCACTGCACACACTAAATTCACTCTACTAATTTCTACATTGTTTTTAATTCATGAGCTCATATGGAACATTTTAAAATTTTAAACATTTTGATACAATTCTACTTGGTATTTTGAATCTAAAAATAATTTTTTCCCACTAAATAAAATTTTAATTTTTAGATATGATATCTTTTTAAAAGAAAAGTTGTAGTTTTGATAATAATGCTTATTTATTACTACTTATAAAAAACGTTGTTCTTGAAAGTAAAAATATAATAATGGTGAATAATTTTAAAATTTATACTTTATACAAAGTTTTTTTAAGTAAAACTTATATAACATTCTTTTTAAAATAATAAAATAACTATGTACATAAAAATGGTGAAATGCATAAGGGTATAATACATAAAAAATACGGTTCTATACAAAATCAATGGTTATTCAATGTATTAACAATAAAAAAAATTAATTAATTAGAAATTAATATAAGGGGCATTAATGTTTTAAAATTAAAATTTATATATATTTTTAAATAAATAATAAAATAAAATAAATGATGGATAGTTTTAAATATTTATGTATAATGTTTTTTAACTTAATAATGTTCATATAACTTTTTTAAATTATAGCATAATAATGTATCTAGAACGAATTTAGTTGAGGGTGTATTAAGTGATTTAGGGGAGTGGTAGTTATGACCACTCATACTCTAACCCAATTGAATCGGTTTCAGATTTTAATCATGTGGAATATTTTGGTTAACATAACTTCTGAAATATTAAATTAGTGAGTCATCTAAATGAATGCAATTAAATTGAATACTATTTTAAATTTAACCGAATAGCGTGGGAGAATGGCCGTCCTTTTAGCGTGGGAGAAGACAAAGTCCATTGAGTCATCTAAATGAATGCAATTAAATTCAATGATTTTTTGGAGTATTGACGTGTAAAAGAAACCAGAAAGTGATATTGTGTAATCAGCAAAATTTGGGAGCATTAGTGTAAATTTTTTTATCTTTAAAAGACAAGCTTTGGTTATTCGCGTAAACAAATAAATACGAGTAATGTTAGAGTCACAAACAAAACTCTCACAAAATTTGCAAACTTACCATTTGTGAATATAACTTTTTAATTTTTAATTTTTTGAAACCATTACTTTGAACTATTATTTATCGTATTTGGTAAATTTGCGTATTTTGTGAATGTCTTGTTTGTAAGTTTAGCATTATTCAATAAATACTCCATAAGATGAAGTAGTTTGTGTTAAGTTTTTAATGAAGTAAAATCCCAAAATAGTTCTTTTTAATGAGGTGTTTTTCTAAATTTGTCTACAATAAGTTTTAATTGCCTATATGATACCTTGTAATTGAATTTTGTTCCCTAAATAGTCTTTCGTAAAAAATGTTAATTAAATAGTGATTATTTGGAAAAATCTTGGTATTTTCATTATCAAAATTTAAAGTAAGTTTTCAAACTGGTCATTTCTATATAATTCTATGTTAAATTAAAATTATCATTAACTATACATAATCCATGAATTACTTAAAAATCTTTCAAAATATTTTAAAATTTGAATCAAATACATCTCCTTAACTAGAAAAACACTTCATTAGAAATGATAAATTTGAGCATTTACTCTAAATTTAAATGATGAGAAAAATACCAAAATACCTTTTACGTAATCGATATTTAAGTGACATTTTTTTAAGAATGACTACTTTGAGAATAAATTTCAATTATTAAATATCATGTAGGTAATTAAAACTTGTAAATGACTACATCAAGAAAATACATTATTAGAAAGGTTTATTTTGAGAATTTATCCTTTTTAATATTTTATGAAGTATTTTTTTGTTGGAATGCATGAGTTCAACCCTTTCTGTGTTTTTAGTGTTGACTCACAGGTTTTGATAATTGACAAACACAATTTATTCAAGTCAAGATTAAAGTTCTACAACGACAAATACGAAGACTTGAAGTGTCATTTCTTGAAGTATTCAAGAAGGTGCACAGGATTTTGTTGAAGTCCGAGACGCGTCCGGAGCGCCTAACGGAGGACTCGGAGGAGTAGAAGATTTCCGAAGACTTTTTATTTATTTGAGTCTTAGGAATTATTGTAAGGATGACAAAAATATCTTCTCTCCAAAATTATTTTTATGAGAGTCAAAATAAAAATTATATTTATTTTTGGAGTCAGTTGAAAAATCTTTTTAACTGTTCAAAATAGTTTTATTGGGTCAGTTACAAAAAGTGTGTCAAACATTTATCAAATATTTATTTCGATATTATAAAATATTTTTGGTAAGCAAAAATATTTTATTCAAATATTTTTCGTGTACATCATTTGACACACAAAATAATTTTTGAACTCACTTTTACTCCCTTATTCAAATTCATTGAATAATAGAAGAGGAGCGCTCCCTGATTCTTCTTGTCTCAAACAACGAGTTTGAGCCAATTCGCTCTCAATCGCAACTGGCCTTGGGCCCTTTGTGTTTGCGCATTATTTCCTTATTAATCGATTAATCTTCCAAAATTAATCGATTAACTGCTTATCGTTGGATTACCCTGGGCTGGAACATTAATCGATTTTTGCTCCTTTGTTAATCGATTAAGGCTGGCAGAGCTGACTAATCGATTTTTTATCTTCCTTTAATCGATTATCCTTTTCCTCACATACTCCATTAATCGATTTTTGAAGATGCTTTAATCGATTTTTTATGATGCATTAATCGATTATGGTGATGCATTAATCGATTAATGTGCTGCATTTTTCATCACAACTTCTTTTCTTGGACCAACGGATATATTCCTTCAACCCCTTTATAAACCTCACTCCTTAGTCATTTTTACTATGTACAAGCACTCCTAAACTCCCCCAATCTTGAAGTTATAATCCTCCATTCATTTCTTCCTCAAATTGATATATTTTGAGAGAAAACTAAGTGTTTTCAAGAGAGTGTTCTTGTCATCCATAGAGCTTTAATCATTTCTCACTTCTACTCTTTTGAGAGCTATTGTTGAGAGGTTGAAGAAGATTTTTTTTCTTGTTGTTCAAGACTTATGTGACTTAAGTCTTGGTTGTGAAGTCTTGTAGAGGGCATATCTACGAGCGGTTGTGTCGAGGCTTGTGGGATTCAAGTTCTCGAGTTGTAAACGGTTTGTTAAGCAACCGTAAGCTCAACGGAAGTAGTGGTAGCTTCGAGAGAGTCTCTCGGGGAACTGGACTAGCCACGAGGTGGTGAACCAGTATACATCGGTGTGTTCTTTGCCTTCTCTCTTTTATTTCCGCTGTACTTACGATTATATTATTAATCCTGCGAAAATCGGTAATGACTCTCAACAACTCTATTCACCCCCCTCTAGAGTTGCACGCATTGTCTAACATTTTTATTATTTCAAAATTACATGGCATAATTTTAAGGAAAAATTACCCAAAATAATCTCAACTTTACTCGGTCTTTCAAAAATAATCTCACCTTTCATTGTGATGCATAATAATCCCAACTTTACAGAAATTTGCTAGTTTTGGGTCGCCGTTAAGTTTCTAACGGAGGGATAACGGAAATGCCCGTTTTAGACAACAAAATGAAAGTTGGGATTATTTTTGATGAATTTTTGTTTTTTAATTTTTTTTAAATTTTTATTTAAATTTTTTGAATTATTTTCAACCTCCATTTTTTTTCTTTTTTAAAGATTATTCTTACCTTAGAAAAAAATAGATATAAAAAACAATGAAAATGAGAAAAATAACTAAAACCATACAAAATTAATCAAATAAATAATGTAATGAATAGAAACTAAACAGAAACTGGTAAGAAATAAAATAAATATATATGGAGTCGTGGGTTTAACATTTTACACACTATACCGAATCTTAATGTACTACTTATTTTTTTTTAAAAACAAGCCGTCCGGTAAAGTTGGAATTATTGTAGATAACTTTTTCTAAAAAATAAGAAGTGATATGTTAATATTTTGTATAATTTTTGTATCATTTTAGTTACATTTCTCATTTTTTCATTTTTTATATCTATTATTTTTATTTTTTAAACTAAGACTAATCTTTAAATAAGGAAAAAGAAATGATGATGGAGGTAGAAAGTAATTTAAAAAATTTAAATGAAAATTTCAAAAAAATTCATCAAAAATAATCCCAACTTTCATTTTGTTGCCTAAAACGGGCATTTCCGTTACCTCTCCATTAGAAACTTAACGGCGATCCAAAACTAACAAATTTCAGTAAAGTTGGGATTATTATGCATCACAGTGAAAGATGAGATTATTTTTGAAAGATCGAGTAAAGTTGTGATTATTTTGGGTAATTTTTCCTAATTTTAAATTGGATGAATCCTTAAACACCAGCTAAATCCAAACACCAGCGCGGCAGCGCACATTAGCAGTTGCCGGCAAGTCCTCTTTCTACGCAGACAGGAATGCACGTGGCCTGTTACTACTCGTCCACGCCAGCCACCGTACACCTCCTCTCTCCGTCGCTTTATCACCGCCGGGCCGGGCCCGCCATAGCCTCAACTCAGCAAGCTCACACAGTGCAATAATATCCTCCTCCTTGATTGATTTCTAGGGTTTTCCCGTTTCTCTCCCCTTCCACCTCTAGCTTTTTACCTCCCCTTAACTTTCCTCCTCCTCACCAATGGATTCCATCGCCGATCCCGGCGAAGTCACTCAGGCGTCGCCGCCGTTGCCGGATTTCGACGACTTCCAGCGCCAGACCTCTCTCATGACCAGCTGCACTCTTCTCTGGAAAGAGCTATCCGATCATTTCACCTCCCTCGAGCAGGATCTAATTAGGAAATCTGAAGCCCTCAAGTCCAAGCTCCAAACCCTAGACAACCAGACCAAGCAATCCCTTGAGGTTCTCGAGAAGCGAGAGACGTCGATCGCCGCCTCTATCTCCATCGCTCTCCAGAAACTCAACGAGAGCAAGAAGGCGGCGCTCGTTGAATTCGGCAACTTCGCCAAATCGATCGACGATGTCTCCGAGCAGCAGCCGGAGGTTGACAATTCCGCCGGTCTGCTCTTCAAGCTGAGGTCGTACTGCCTTCAGATGGATTCCAGAAACTTCTGGAGCTTCGTTAATCTTCGGAAGAAGGAGCTTGAATCCTTGAGGTTGGAGATCCCGAAAGCCCTGGGAGACTGTGTGGACCCACCGAAGTTCGTGTTGGAGGCGATATCTGAGGTTTTTCCGGTGGACAAACGGGAGCTGAAGAGTGAGAGGAGCAATGATTTGGGCTGGGCCTGCGTTCTGCTTCTGGAGTCACTGATCCCTGTGATGATGGATCCGGTGCTGGGGCCCGAGAGGATGCTGGTGACGCCCAGCGTGAGGAAGAGGGCCAATGAGATAGCCGAGACATGGAAGAAGAGCTTAGATGAAAGGGGTGGAATTGAGAATGTTAAAACCCCCGATGTCCATACTTTCTTGCAACATTTGGTGACTTTTGGGGTTGTTAAGGAAGAGGATGTTGATTTGTACAGGAAGCTTGTGGTTGGCTCTGCTTGGAGGAAACATATGCCCAAGCTTGCTCTCTCTCTTGGCCTTGGAGATAAAATGCCCGGTAATCATTTGGAGTTCTTCGTCTTCCTTTTCGTTTAACTCATCCATATGATATATGAAAGTGAAACTGGAATGTCAAGTTGACCTTTGGAGTTCTTGGTATTTTTGTGTTAAGCCATTCAACATTGGTTACATATAAAAACAGTAGTACTTTGGTTGAACTTTTAGGGGCTAACATATTCGGAGTACGGAGTATTATCTTTTCATGACTGATTTCTGTCGTTTTCTGCATCAAGTATAATAAATTTATACTTCCTCTTCCCTAAAACAACTTGACTTTTAAGGAGTTTAAGAAAATTAAATGGTGTTTAGTAAAAAATAAAAATATGTGAAGGAAATTAGTTTTAAATATAGACATAATAAGAGAAATATCTTCATTTCTTAAAAGTGATAGTGTAGAAGTGTAAAGTTCTTTTTGGGAGATGGAAAGTGATATTGTTTTAAAGGCCTGCCAAATCTAGTGAGTTTAACCAGGAATATTATTTGAAAGTGGAAGGTGTGGTAATGGATTCTGGCCTGGTGGGTGGTGCTTACCTTAAAAGGCGCTTCTCATGGAGCTGAATATGCAGTCTTTCAATTGTCTTTGATGGTTGTTATTACTTATTAAAAAAACTAACAAAAAGATGTTTCCTTAATGCCAGTTTTGCATTCTGCCATAGCACTGGATTTTGGCCTGTTTGCGGTTGAATCTCATTATTGTCAATTTTGTTGATATTAATGCTGTTATGCCTCTGTCTTTCTCTAAATTTCATACCTTTTGCTAATGTATGTCATCCTATGAAGCTGCTGTGTGAAACCTATTGGTTCTCAGAAACTTCTTAGCTAGTTCATGGTTCTATGTCCCTGTTTGGTAGTGGGTTCTGGTTTAATTTTTTTATTATTTTTCTATTAGGCAGAATGTATAACACTTGTTTGGATAAACCAAACACTTCTTTTTTCCGAAACTCCAGCCGAATAAGCCTTAGTTGTGTTTAGTTTTTTATAGACTCCCTCCATCCCAAAATATAAACTTCACATATTCTTTTTTCACCTTTCACCTGTTTCAAAATAACCTTTACACTTTTCTCATTTCCTTTTTAAGGAATTAGATTTGTGGGTCACAACATTTCTCTATCTTTTATATAAATCCTAACCACACACTTTTCAAAAATTTATTACGGGATGGAAGGAGTATCTAAATGAACAAAATGTCTTAGTGCTTGGTCCTCTGTTTTTTTGCGTGGACAGAGCTGATTGAAGAACTAATAAGCAGAGGACAACAGGTTGATGCCGTGCATTTCACTTATGAAGTCGGCCTCACCCACAAGTTTCCTCCTGTTCCTCTCCTTAAAGCTTTTATCAAGGATGCTAATAAAGCTGCTAATGCCATTCTTGAAGATCCTAACAATTCTGGTCGAGCTGCGGTATCTTCCAATGTCTTTACTTCTATTATAGTGCATATTTACTGGAACTATCTTTTATCAGTCTTTCATATTATGATGGAGTCTCTTCTGAATTTTCTCCTTCAGTTGTGAAAGACCTTTATGCTTGATCTTGATCAATACCCCCCC